TCTATTTGAATCCCAACCCTTTTGCTTATTTCTTATGTGACTTTAGGCAAGTTGCTTCCTCATCTGTAAAATGAAAATAATAGGACCTATCTCATTACATGTGCAGGCACTAAGCATTATATAAGTTTTAGCTGCTCATGCTGGTTTTCCTAAGTAAAAACGTAAATGCCAAATTTCCGTTTTTCGGTGTGATCTTACAGTAAAATCTTAAAGGGTCTGTTGTCTATTATTATTTTTTGGATTGTCCTTTGTTCTTTAACAAAACACAGCTTTTACTCCCTATCCCCTCTCCTTTCATAACATATGCTAAAGTCTAAGCATATAGAATAGACACCTTTGAACAGCAAAATGGATATGGGGCTTTGTGGGTCACTGAAACACAGCTTCCAACTGCTCCTCTTCTAAAAAGACTAAATTTCTCACTTTGAGGATGTCAAATGTACCTCATTTTCACTAAATAAGGACATTACTGAAAATAAGTACTGTCCGCTGCTCACCTTAATTCTTCCTTGGATAACTGACCTCTAAACACTCATAGCTCATTTGGTGTTTAAACTGGGAAACCACAGTGGACTTGCATAGATATCATTGTAGTCGTGAAAAACCCATAATGAGCTAGCACTGTGCAGATAACCACAGCCTTTTCTCAAAATAGGCAGAACTCCATGTCGTGACACATGACATATTGTGTTACTCAAACTGTAACATGATAATGGCAAATATAAAAGGTAATGTAAGATCAGATGATAAACAGACACCCCACAAACACCTATGGCCCAAGGTAATGTCTCAAGTCCTAGAATCTCATGTCTAAATTACTTAGAGAAGTGTCAGCTCAATGTTTGTTTTCAAGAGTAAGAATAAATCCATATTCCAAAAATCTACTTTAAGGAGCCACTGACAAAAACAATACGTTTCTAAGTTTTAGAGCACTTCCTTCAGGTTGTATATATTCTGGAGCTGTCTACACTTATGTCTTGGCGTTGGGACCTTCACATTACTTATAGGGTTTCTCTGCATTAGGAGTCTTCACATGACTAAAAGTATTAAAACTAAAAACTTTCTTGTTTGTCACATTTACAGGCTTTTGATCCAGTGTGCATTCTTACATTTTTCAGGCCAACTGAAAAATTCTGCCCATTGCTTATATGCAAGAGGTTTCTTCTCTGTTCTTCTATGGCTTTGAATTGAACTGGCAGAGTAAAGGTTTTCCCACACACTTAACATTTATACGAGTTCTTTCCACAATGCATTCTTATGTGTGCTAGAAAGTTTCTGTGATAAAGCTTCCTCGCATTCTTTCTTTAGGGTTTCCAGTGTTGAGTTCTTTCATGTCTTTGAAAGGAACTGAAATGACTGAAGCCTTTTCCACATCGTTTGTATTCATGTGTTCTTTCATGTATTTGAAATAAACCACAATAGGCAGAGGCTTTCCCACACACCTGACATTTCTAAGGTCCGTCTGCGGTGTCAAGAGTTATGCCTTCAAATGCTTCCAGGAGAAATGAAGGCTTTCCCACATTCCTTATATTTATATAGATGCTGTGCTTATTCCTGATAGTCGTATGGTTTGCAGCTAGTGAGCCCCGAAGTGCTTGTTAAGGGATAAGGGATAAATAGTACATGAAGTCTTCACACACTGCTTTCACCTGGTTTTACTTCAGGAGTTTTGTTCAAATTACAATCT